AGGCTTTGGCATAGTCAATAAAGCAGAAATAGATGTTTTTCTGGAACTCTCTTGCTTTTTCGATGATCCAGCGGATGTTGGCAATTTGATCTCTGGTTCCTCTGCCTTTTCTAAAACCAGCTTGAACATCTGGAAGTTCACGGTTCACATATTGCTGAAGCTTGGCTTGCAGAATTTTGAGCATTACTTTACTAGCGTGTGAGATGAGTGCAATTGTGCGGTAGTTTAAGCATATAGTATGGTGATTAAGACTTTAGTCAGGTAGACTCCAGTTTCTTTGCTTTCTAGTAATGTGATCTTGAATAAGCAATTTAGCTTCTCTAAATTCCAGTTATCTCAATTTCAAAATGGAAAAGATACCTATCTCATAAAATTATTATGAGGATTAAAAAAGCTAAGAAAAATTTTTGGTAATGCCACTTTGAGGAATATACCAAAAAATGCTCAGGAAAAAGCCTGTCTTTACAATTATAACTTTATTGTTCATATCAAAAGCATGTACTCTGTAGAACCTAAATGTATTTTCTGAAATGTCATATAGAGACTTAATAGAATGTGTTTTATTATTACAATGGAGTATCCTATAACCATTAAAATGACAGATACAGGGTCAAATGGCACAGAGACTGTGGTAAGCACAGATGTAAGCAATGGAATCAGTCCATTTTTTTCCTGTCATATGTTTGTGTTTGTGGCTCAGTAGTGGTAGTGATAATGAATATGTGTACTATTACAGTTCACAGAGTATTTCAGAAAAATTATTCGCTTAATATAGCAATGCTAGAACTAATAGTTATTTTTGCTTTCTCAGTTCTAAATCTTGTGTTCTTTCCATGTGGAATAATATAAATTTCAGAAAAATTCATAGATGCTGTTGTGAAAATGTCTTTGTAGGATAATGCCAAATGAAAAGAAAATTGAATAGAATATAGCACATGGTGTGTTACTATCTTATGAACCATAAATATGTATCAATCAGAATCAACTATAATATTAACTTGATTGTCATATTATCATTGCATTGTACTTTTATTGAAATCATGGATTCAGTACAAACTAAATAGAGTATTTGTGTACATTCTGTTGCCTATACTTAGAAATTAGCCACAGTCATGATCATAATTTCAGACAAAATTGATTTCTTGAAGTGTACAGTTTCTTAAAGTATACAACTCAAATATACAATTGAGTTTCTAAAATGTTTCTTTTTTAGGAAAGCAAGGAAGGCAGAAATAACCACCAGCTTATTTGCCCCAAATTTTTGACTCTTGTGGTTTTATCATAAGCAGGAGCTAAACTGCATATATAAGTAATATAGATTTTAAAATTACTACTTATTATGTATTATTGTCAGCCATAGAGTGCATAGCCCAGAAAGGGGAATCATAGTGAACTGTTGTTATTATTGAGTTTGGTTTTTGGTTTTTTAGTTTTTGGTACTTAACATAGCTTGGAATCTTTAGGAAGGAAATATTTTGAAATCATCAGTAACACATCAAATTGGAAATCTGTTATTAAATTTCCTTAGATTAAATTGTTTTAATTATGTTTCTAACATAGTACTTTTGCCTTTCTCATAGCTATTAATTGATGGCAAAATAATTTTGGCTTTGTTTACCTATGTTAAAAAGCCTGAGAAACACAAAATACTTGAATGGTCTGCAGCACAGTATGAAGAACTACAGCTGCATGCAATTGCCACTTTGTCATCAGTGGCTCCTTTTTTAATAGATGAGTACATGTTCTATACGGGAAATGCTCGAGTCCTTGAATTTCTAACATGGTGTGACAATGAAGGTAAGTGGGCTTTCCGATTCCTGTCAAAATTCCAGTTTTGCTCAACCATGTCCAACTCTTTGCAACCCTATGGATGGTAGCCCGCCAGGCTCCTCTGTCCATGGAGTTTTCCAGGCAAGAATACTGGAATGGGTTGCCATTTCCTTCTCCAGGGGATTTTCCCGACCCAGGGATAGAACTTGGGTCTCCCACGTTTCGGGAAGACTCTTTACCATCTGAGCCACGAGGAAATCCTTCAACTGAATGGTGGTATACAAAAAGAAATACAATTAAAAGGAGAACTAAAAATGTTGATCTGACCTTCAGTGATTTTAATATATTTAAATGCTGTTTTAAGAAAAAAGTCTGAGATTTCATTTAGAGTCAGACATTAGTAAATGTTAGCTATACCTGATGCTTACCTTTCAGTAAAAGAAATCATTCATTTAAACTGATTTAAATTTTTTGACCTATCCAATACTTATAATAAGTCCTATAATATTGTAATTAGTCATTCAACAAATATTTATTGAATGCCTACTAGTTACCATATATTGTTTTATCTGCTAAAGAAACATTTATGTTCAAAATAATAAAATCCCACCTTCATGGAGCTTCAAATCTAGATCTCTAGCCACAGGTTGTCTGCTAAATTAACAGAGCCATAATTTATATGACTATTTCATTTCAATTCTCATAATTCTTAGAAGGGAAATATATATATTCTTTTAAAAAAATTATAAGGAAGATACTACATTCTTTTCTGGTAGTAACTTTGCTTTGAAAATAATTGTACATGGTACATTTTCATTAGATCAGGAATAGCACTCATTTATCAATGAGGGAGAGAAAACAATGGCTTATTTTTATTCTCTAGCTTTTCATATGATGAGTTATTAAATTTAGTCATGTTAAATTCAGTTCAATTCAGTTCAGTCACTCAGTTGTGTCTGACTCTTTGTGACCCCATGAACCGCAGCATGCTAGGCCTCCCTGTCCATCATCAACTCCCAAAGTTTGAGTCAGTGATGTCCATTGAGTCGGTGATGCCATCCAACCATCTCATCCTCTGTTGTCCCCTTCTCCTCCTGCCCTCAATCTTTCCTGCACATTAAATAAAACAGTTCTCCTGCATCTCCTTTATATCATTTATGTTTATAGAAATCTATAAGACCAAAAAAAAAAAGGTAATGCTGCTTAACCAAAGGAAGCCTGATGGCTAACAGTTATTGAGTACCTACTGTGAGGTAGGCCTTAACCCTTTCAACAATATTAAATCATTTAGGCCTCAAAACAAATCTAGGAGTTATGGGTTCTGTTATTAGCCTGGTAGGTCAGTGGTTAGAACTCAGTCAGAGGAGTTCAGTAACTTGTCCCTTTCACATAGTAAGTAACAGAGCCAGGATTTAATACAGGGAGTCTGGTTCCAGAACCCACATTTTTAAACCTATACACATTACTGAGAACAGTATTTTGAACTTTTTTTTTCTAGCACCAAACAAAAAGATACCTCTAAAAGAGCCTTTCTAAGAATGCATATTATATCCAAGAGGACTTCTCTTGTTACTTATCAAGACTGACCATAAAGCTATAGTAATTAAAATTATATTGTACTAGGCTTGGAATAGACCAGAGAAATGGAATATATGGGAGATGGGCATTATCAAAGATGATATTGCCAATCAATGAGAAAAAAATAGTGCTTGGGCAGTTGGCGCTCTGTGAAAAAAATAAAGATTAGATCCTTTCAACTTGTTTTAAAAAATAAATTGCAAAATGAACTAAAACCCTAAATGTGAAACACTGTAAAAATCTTAGAAGAAAATATGGGAGATTATCTCTATGATAACAGGGTGAAAAATGATTTTTTTAAAAAACAGAAGAACTTAAAGTATTTATAAGATTATAAAAATTATTAAATGTATCAATTACTGTAAAATAGAAATATCTGTGTGACAGAATGACAGAATCTGAATAAGATAACAGTCTACAAATTGAGAGAAGATATTTGTTCACCCCTCTGACTGATAAACAGTTGGAATTCAGGCTCATAAAGAACTCATAAATATCAAAAGGAAAATAACTCAGTAGAGTAGACAAAGAATAAGGTTTGCCAAGAAGATTCTTCAAAATTTTTGGAGAAAATCTCAAAGTTAACAAAAAAAATTTAAAAGACATTCAACCCCACTGCACTACAGAGGAAATGTAGTTGCTCTGCAAATTAAGCTAACAGTGAACTACCATTTCACATTTAAAAGATCAAGGAAAAAAATCCATTTCTTAAACATTGTATTCATATAACCACTTTGGGAAACAATCTGACAACTTGAGTAGAACTCCATGTGGGTGTACCCTACAGGATTCTGGTGTCACAGGCAAAACACTTCTTTGTGGGAACAAGAGGACATGAACTAGAATGTTCATCTTAGCAGTTTGTACTAGTGAACAGATAAACTGTTATTTATAATATGGATGTGGAAAACAGTTAAAACTGAGTGATCTAGATCTACTTGTAACCATGTGAATAATTTTAAAAACATAATGTTGCATTAATAAAAAACAAATGACAAAAGATAACATGCAATAATGATACATTTGAGTAAAATTCAAAAACACATATTTGTATACAGGAAATAGAGGAAGGGAATCGAATCACATTTACTTCTCTAAAAAGAAAAACCCTGAAGTATGACAAAATGTTACCATCTCTTTAAACTTATATAGACAGGAATGATGTCTAAATTTCTTGATGTAAACTAAACTATTAATATTTTTCTACAGATTCCTTCTTTAGTCATGGTAACAGTTTTCATGGTGCAGGTGGCCGTGGCAACAAGTTTGCCCAGATGCGTTACAGTTTAAGACTCTTGAGAGCCATGGTCTACCTTGAGAATGATACTATAAACAAGGATCTGTGTGAAAAGGGAGCAATTCAGCAACTAATAGGTAAAACATAACATGTTCCTGTCCTGATGAAAGTAGGATTTTTATAAATTAGAAATTTTGTTTGAAATGGTTTTCTATACATTTATTTTGTCCGATAGCTGACAAATTCCTGATTTTTGTTTCATACTATGGATATAAATTAGTTTGTCTTTACTGAAACACCATGATTACTTATCCTTTTAACATTTATTTAATTCAGATATGGTTTCATTTAGGATTATCTTTATCCTTTTTTTAATGGACTATTGTTATGTTTCATTCTTTTAGTAGTAAGATCACCACTTTTTGGCCAGGCCTTTTGAAGTCATTTTAAAAGAGGATAGTATTACACTTTCCAGTGCATTTGACATACCAGAACACTGGTACACTGGGGTATTCAGAAATTTACATATTCTTTCTGGTGTGAAATATCAGGATATCCTTAATTTTTAAATTAGAGTTGACAATGCTAAGTCACTTTATCCCCCAAATTCATACATGTGCACTCAAAATTGAGTTCAAAATTGAGCTCTCAAAAAATTGAGAACCCCTAGAGTTAAAACTTTATGCCTTTTATTATTAAAAAAAAATAAATAGTTCTCTGGCCCTAACCTTTCCTGACTTTGAGAAGTAAGAGTTATATTAGTCATATTCATGTTCAGTGATTGCCACATGGGTAAGTGATGTAATTTGCTGGATGTCAGTTTATTATAAATGCTCACTTAAAAAGTTTCTTGTCTGTTAAGTGCCCACTCTTCTATCAGTAGTGAATTAGGGTGAAAGTGAAAGTCGTTCAGTCATGTCTTACTCTTTGTGACCCCATTAACTATAGAGTCCATGGAATTCTCCAGGCCAGAACACTGGAGCAGGTAGCTGTTCCCTTCTCCAGGGGATCTTCCCCTGGAGAACCGAACCCAGGTCTCCTGCATTGCAGACAGATTCTTTACCAGCTGAGTCACCAGGGAAGTCTGGATAGGGGTGGTACCCTCTAACAATAATACAAATAAACAAAATGAAGATATTGAAAAAAGGGCTAGGCAAAAACATTCACTTTATTGATGAGTTTACTTAGGATGATCAAACCTGAAAGTAGATTTTATCTCTTCTGTGCACATTTCATTATGCAGAACTCAATGTTAAGGCCTCAGCCTAACAGGATGAATACAGTTTTCCATATATCCAGGAAAAAGTCTTAATCTTACCTGGGTGGCAAGAGGGGAAGGAAAAGCAAATAGCAAGGGTTCTTTTCTTCTTAGGACCTCATCCCTTTAACTTGAAAGAAATTGATCTTTATTATGTGAGTGTCTAGAGGTAGGGATCGTCTCTTACTGAGTCTAACAGAGGGCTCTGTAGTAGTAATAAACTCAACAAATAGTAATTGCATTGTAAATGCAAATGTCTATACATCTGTTGTCTAGGCACTGATGTCATAAATATGTATAGAGCAGAACTCTCAGGACCTTGCCTTAATGGAAACAAAAGGAAAGATATATGTCATAGAAAGATAGTATGAGTTACCCTGCACCATCAGTAAATCACCTAGTGAGTAAGACAGAGAGTAAATGCCACAGAGTAGTTTTCAAGGCTGGGCAATCTTAACAGGAAACTTTATGAGTTAGGGTGTGAAGGTAAGGCTGTTTCAAGAGGGAAAAAGAGAAAGAAATGGTCTTTCACACAAGGGGACAGCATGAGCAAAGACATGAATCCAAAATATACATGATGGTGTGTTCAGAGCTAGTTTAAGTGGAGTCTAAGTTTTATGAAGATAAATAATATGAGATAAAGTTAATTGTTTAGTCAGATGCCAAGCTAGAAAGAGTATTGAATGGCAGATAATAATAGAGTTTGAACTTCATCCACTTTAAGCACGGGGAGCTATTAGTAGTTTGGATTAGGAAAGTTATATATACAACGCTATTTTGGAAAGAGGAAAAAGGAAAGAAATATATCTAATGATTTAAAATAGAACACGGAGAGGGTAAATGTAGGGAGTTAAAGGATAAATATTAAGAAAATAATTCAGTATTAACATAACTTTTATTACAGATAACGGGGAAAGTGACATACCTGTACACAGATAGGAAGAAGAGGAGTTAATCTAGAGAAGAGAAGCCAACCTGAGGCAAGCCAAGCTGGGTTCCTAGAAGGTGTCCTAATGAGAGAACATAGGCCTCTGTCCATGGCATACCTTTGCCCTGGCCTCCAGCACACTCAGCTAGCCTTCCTAGACTCTGATCCTTCACCTGTAATTCACTGTAACAGGACCAAGAACTGTCCTTTCAGGGACAACTATGGAAATAGGCTATGGTTTCCATGGCCCTTTTACTTTGAAATATAGCTCCACACCTTGCTGTTAATGCGAATTCCCTTTGATTCCCTTTAAGTGAAAAAAAGTGACTTTTGTTCCTTATATAAAGTTTAAAGGAGAAGTCCTTTTCTGAAGCAAAATGTTCTTGTGAATGACATTCCATCAGTGTAAAGTGACTGTTTTCAAGTCTTTTAAAATTCTGATTGGAAGCAAGGGAGAACTTTTAAAGGACACAAGAATATTGCTACCTAAGTTGTCAAAAATGCCTTCAGGTAGACATAAATAGACAACACAGAAAGAAGTAACAGAAAAAGAAAACATACTTAGGGCACTCTTCCACCTTTACTTAAAATTGACCCTGTTAATCATAAGGAAAAGAAGAGATGAGGCAAGCTAAGATCTGTATTTTGGTCATATATTTGCAAAGGCATGTGTCTTTGCCTCATGAAACTGCATATTTTTAAACAGTTTTGTTTTCTTGGTGAAGTATCAGGTTGTAAAAGACTGCTTTTAATGATATTCAATTAATTATGTACTAGAAACTATATATATATCAGAATATTGATTGTATTAAGAGCTCAAAGAATCCATTTATCATCTGTCTACAGCTTCTAGGAAATCATGCAATGAAAATAACCCTTTTAAAAATAGTTCTTCTAGTTGAAATTTTATAAGAATTTCAGAACAGAAATTGATCAAAATAAAAATACAGTGTTCAATAACTTTACATTCTTTAACTTTCTTCAAATCAGGAATCTTTAAAAATACAATCAGCAAGTATAATGATAAGGAAGAGGCCATTCTTCTGGAAATTCAGTCTGATATTTTACTTATTTTATCTGGTCTTTGTGAATATCATATTCCTGGGAAGGTATGTATGCCTGTGAATCAAAGTTTTGTTCAGATCTTTCAATCACATGACATTAGGAACTATTTCTTAGTAAATGTCCATAAATGTTGGTGTTTCTTAATCTTATGAAGATTTAATATTCTTTTTATAATTAGAGTATAATTACATAAAGTATATAGATCTTAAGTATATAGTTTGATTTTGACAAACATCATCCATTTAACCAGTATCCCAATTAATATATAGAATTTTTTCTCTCTATAATACTTCCACGCTGCTTAGCAGCCATTCCCCTACTTGCCTCTAGGCAACCCACTGTTCTGATTTCTATCTTCATAAATTAGTTTTGCCTATTCTTTAACTTTATATGAATAGAATCACATAATTATCTACCTTATTATTTCTGGTTTTTGTCACCCAGCATCATGTTTCTGAAATATATCCATGTTGTTGCATGTATCAATAATTCATTCCTTTTTATTGCTGAATAGTATTTCATTGTATACCAAAATTTGTTTCTCTATCCCTTGGTGATAAGCACTTGGGCTGATTCCATTTGGTACTACTATCTTTAAAGCTTTAATTAAGGTTGCTGTACTAGTCTTTTTGTGGGAAAAAATGCTTTCATTTCTCTTTGGTAAATACCTGGGAGTGCAACTGATGAATCATAAGCTAGGTGTTATGTTTTGAAGTAACTGGCAATAGTTCTTCAAAGTAGCTATACCATTATAAATGCTATTTTGTGTTTAAACTGGGTTCATACCTAAAACTAAAAGTTAAAAAAGAGTTTAATTCCTTTTGATCTTTTTAATGCCTTAGAAAACTCTGAGTCTCAGAGATTAATAACTTACATAATAATACAGATTTGGAAATATAAAAATTAAAAATTATGAAGGCTTCAATACAGCGGTTTGAGGGAGAAGCAAAAAGAACAGTAAATACATACTTAGCTCAAAGCTTTGGTGAAACTTCTTATATTCTATCATCTTGTGCCTATGTTCTTCTGGAAAATACTCATAGTCTTGCTTACTGGGACCCAGAATAGAATAACAGGACTATAAGAAAGGTACTTATTATGGGACAAATATTAACTGGTAATAACTTTATATAAATTATTAAAAGTTTTAACTGCTATTGATTATTTCTGTCTTGGAAACATTAGAAAATCTTCCATAATAGAATTTTAACCCCTTAAATTAGTTGTTGCTATCTGGTATTTATCTGACATTATGTTAGACTACATTCACTACAGTGTGAAAAAAAAAAAACCATGGGACAAGTCTTATGGTTTTTTTTTTTTTTTTGTAAAGAAAGAGAAAGAGGAAAAATATAAATGGGCATTAAGTTGGCATATGGATTGGTATCCTCTCTTAAAAAATAATCAACTTTACAATAATTTGCCTTAAGTTCCTGAGAAAACTGAGTAAAAATTTGAAAACAAAACAAAACTGTATTACTGTACTATTTTCCTTGTTGAGATAATCCCATGGACAGAGGACTCTTGTGGGCTACAGTCCATAGGGTCACAAGGAATTGTTCATGACTGAGCAACTAAGCATGCACATATACACTATTTTCTTAACAATGTTGTATTTTCCTAGTTGAAAAGTTTTATGGGACAGGATGAAATGGGAAAGAAAATGATTATTTGTTTATTTCAAGAAATAATTGTAAATAAATCTCTTAGGAAATTTTTGGAACTGGAGGAGTGGATATAATTCTTCATGTAATGAAAACAGACCCCAAGAAGTTACAGAGTGGATTAGGCTATAATATACTTCTTTATAGTACATTGGACAGCATTTGGTGAGTATGGCTGTACCCACAGTAAAAGAAAATTACCTCTCTAGCTATGTATCCATTTTATTCCCTTAAAACTGCAAAAGAAAGACAAGCCTTTTTCAATAGTCCAAAAATGACACTTACAAGTATAACTTAGAAAGTAGTCTTGTCCATCACTCAAATATAAAAACCATTCTTATATCTAAACTTAGATCCTTATATTTGTGATTTGAATGCTTTCCATTTTGGCCTGGCCTGGGAAAACACAAGCATCTACTGTTACTCATATAGTATTCTTCATATCCTTTTGAAGGATATGAAGACTTGAATTCCTCATTCATCTTATCTTAAAGAGTTGAAAACCAATTGATTAGGTATTTCCTAGTCAATATTATTTCCCATAAAGTTTAGCATTCCAAAAGGCAAATAATAAATAAACTGCTTTTTTAACATCAATTTATGAAATTTTGTCTTGGGGGAAATTACTTGAGTTTCATATATCATTAACATTTCTTTTGTTCTATTTGGGTGGAATTCATGAGAGTCACACCACACACATTTGTTTAAGAAAAAAAAAAAAAAACCTCATGACTAGAGACCTAATAGAGACCTAATAGATGTATGTAGATCATTCTACCAATAACAGCAGAAAACACATTTTTTAAATCACTGTAATATTGTGATTTATAATTTAAAAATTTATATTTGGTCCATTTCTAGTACAGAACTCCCCAAACCCTTGTAATTTCTTAATAAGAGCAATGGTAACATCTTTTGTTACAATATTTGGTCTTTTATTTTTAGTTCCTATAATACTTTCAGAGTAATAAAGATGAAAGTAGTATCTTTCTTTATTCATAACAAGCCACTTTCAACTACCTCTGAATTTATGGTACTAAGGTGATTTTTGGAAAGCCCCTAGATAAACACAGAATGGGAGCCTGGTTGCCAAGGAACTAACTATAGTGTTACTTAAAGATTGTAATTTTCAGCTCCACCCTCAACCTCCAGGGAGGGGAGAGAGACTGAAAATTGAGTTTAATCACCAATGGCCACTGATTTCATCAGTTATACCTACACAATGAAGCCTCCATAAAAATCCTAAACTATGAGATTGAGGAACTTCCAGGTCAGTGAACACATGGAGTTGCTGAGAGGGGCATGGAAGCTCCAGGCCCTTTGCCTGTATACTTTGTCTTGTTGATCTCTTCCATCAGATTGTTCCCAAGTTATATTATTTTACAGTAAACTAGTAATCTAGTAAGTAAGCTATTTCCTGAGTTCTGTGAGCTACTCTACATCTGGTTGTTCAGAAGCACAGGTGACGACCTGGACTAGAATCTAATTTTGTGGGGGGGAAAGCAGCATAATCTTGTGGGACTGAGCTCTTAACCTGTGAGACTGGATGCCAACTCGAGGTAGTAGTTTCAGAATTGAATTGAATTGGAGGATACCCAGTTGATGTCCACTGCGAATTGAAGAATTGTTTGGTATAGAAAAAACCTACACATTTGGTGGCCATAAGTGAAGTATTTAGAGTAGTTTTGAGAAGAGACACGGAGATTTTTGTTTGTCTGTTTTACAAGCACATGTGGCGCATTTTCTAGGGTAAGTCATGTACAAGGTCACAAAACAAGCCTAGGCAAATTTAAGAAAATGGAAATCATTCTTTTCTGACTACAACTGAGTTCAACTAGCAATAACAAAAGGAAACCAGAAAAATTCACAAAAGCATGGAAATCAAACAGCACACTTTAGTATAACCATTGGGTCGAAGACAAAAACAAAAAGGAAACCAGAAGATTTCTCAGGGAAAACTAAAATGAAAACACAACATACCTAAACTATTAATAGAAATATACAATCTACCAAGACTAAGAAGAACAGAAACCCTGCACAGATCAATAACAATAAAGAGATTGAATCCATAATCAAAAACCTCCCAACCAAAAAAGTCCAGGTCTGGAGAGCTTTGCATTTTTATCAAAAATTTAAAGAATTAATACTAGTCCCTTTTAAACTCTTCCAACAGATAGGAGAATAGAGAACATTTCAAAACTCATTTTATGAGGCCAGCATCAACGTAATACCACAACCAGACAAAGACATCATTAAAAAAAAGAGAGAACTGGGAGATCCCTGGCATCCAGGGGTTAGGACTCGGTGCTCTCACTATCATGAACCTGGGTTCTAGTCCTTGGTGGTGAAACTAATATCCTGCAAGTCAACCAGTGTGGCCAAAGAAAGAACTACAGCCAAAATCCGATGAACATGGAAGCAAAAATGCTCTGGAAAATATTGGACTGAATCCAACAGCATATTAAAAGGATTATACACCATGACCAAGTGGGACTTATCCCTAGAAAACAAGAATAGTTCAATATATCCATATTAGTCAATGTGATACACCACATTAATGGAATGAAGGACAAAAATCACAGAATTATCTCAATGTATGCAGAAAAAGCATTTGACAAAATTCAACACCCTTTGATGATTAAAAACTCAGTAAATTAGGTAGAGAAGGAATTTACCTCAACACAATAAAAGCTATATGAAAAGACCACAACTAATATCACACTTGAATGGTGAAAAGCCAAAAACTTTTTCTCTAAAATCAGTACAAGGCAAGGATGCCCACTCTTACCACTTTTACTCAACATACTACCATAAGTTCTATTTGGAGCAGTTAGGCAAGAAAAAGAAAAAAAAGCATCCAAATCAGAAAAAAAGGGTACAGTTTGCATCTGTTTGCAGATTACATTGATCTTAATATGTACAAAACACTAAAGACTCCACCAAAAGACGGTTAGAACTAATAAATGAATTCATTAAAGTTGCAGGATACAAAATTAACGTACAAAACAACTGCATTTCTATATACTAGTAATGAACTGTACAATAAAGAGGAAATTATAATCACATTTATAATTTTTAAGAATAAAGTTCTTAGAAATAAACAAGGGGTGAAAGACTTAGTGGTACAATCACTATGGCAAGTGATATGGAGGTTCCTCAAAAAATGAAAAATAGAACTACCATATGATCCAGTAACCTCACTTCTGGGAATATATCCAAAAGTATTGAAATCAGTATCTTGAAGAGATAGCTTCATCCTGTGTTCTATGCTGTGTTGTTCACTGTGAATAATTATTCACTATTCACAATAGTAAAGATACAGAAACAACACAAATGTCCATCAGATGAATGAAGAAAATGTGTTATGTACATGCAGTGGAATATTACTCAGCTTTTAAAAAGAAGGAAATCCTACCATTTGCAACAACATTGGATACATTATGCTAAGTGAAATGTCATTCACAGAAGGATATCTCTTATACATAATTTCTCTTAAACACAGCATCTAAAATAGGCAAAAGTGTAAAAGTAGATAATAGTATATAGTATGATGGAGTATGTAGAATGATGAAGTGAGGGAGGCGTGATGTGTTGTTCAATGGATATAAAGTTACAGTTATACAAAATTAGTAAGTTCCAGAGATCAGATCTGCAGTACAACACATTGCTCATAGATCTACTTTAGAATATAGTGTCTACAGTTAAGGTAAGATGTTATGTACTTAAACATTTGTTAAGTGAGTAGATCTCATATGTTCAGTGGTCTTATTCCCGCCCCACCAAAAAACACCACCAACAAAAACCCACAAAGGGATATAAGGAAACTTTAATAAGTGATGAATGTTTTTATTACCTGGATTGTGGTGATAGCAACACAAGTATTTGCATATGTCCAAACTTACCAAATTATATACAGAAACTATATACAGATTAAAAATTCCAATTATACTGCAATAAACATGGGGGTGGTAGGGAAACTCTGATGAGTATTACTTTCCATAGGATAAAGTAACTAGATTTATCCCCTGGAAATTCTCTCGTTTTATACAGAGCTGGAATACTCAGCTCTCTTCCACATAAACATGGGCAATGGGGCTAATCAACTATCTGGTTTCTTTTTTACTACGATATAGTGATAACATGATAACCTGATCTTTAGTTTCAACAGCAAAGTCTTATTGACCAAAGTGCTGTATTAAGCATAGTAAAAAGTTCAGACATGAATATTGAGTACCATCCTTGCTATATGCCAATACATTGGAATTCAGTGGTTACTGCGGAAAATGACTTGATGTTTTATCCCTTTTTTATTTGATATCTCATAATTATACTAAGATAAAGATAAATGGCTTTATTTATCTGTGTATTTTACTAGAGCACAACTTCAAATACCTTTGTGTAATAGATTAGTAATAAATAAGTTGGACATGAGTTTCAGCAAACTCTAGGAGATAGTAAAGGACAGAGAAGTCTGGTGTGCTGCAGTTCTTGGGGACGCAGAGTTGGACACAACTTAGAGACTGAACAACAGTAACAACAAAGTTCAGTGTTTAATTGGTAATAACAGCAGTCAGATCTTTTTCCTTTTCTTAGACACTTAAATGGGAGAAGTTATTCCTTTGTATCATGAAAGGACTTTAAATATTATCAAACACTTTTAGTTCTATTGAGATATCATATTTCTCCTTCATTCTGTTTACATGAATCATCACACTGTATTTCTTGAATAAGCCTGACCTGCTTATGGTGTATTCTTTTTTTTTTTTATGTTGCTAGATTCAATTAGCAAATATTTTTAGATTTGGGGGAAAGAATATCATGTTAATGTTAAGTTTAATATTTTTTTATTAATATTCCCTGAATGGTTTTGGAATCTAGTTTGACCTCAGAAAACAAGTTTGGAAGTATTCCTTCATTTTATTTTCTCTAGAAAGAGTTTGCATAAGATTGTTTTTATATCTTTCTTAAGTAATTCATGGAATTCACCAATTAAGTTGTCTATGCCTGGAGTTTTCTTTGTAGAAAGATTCTAAAGTATAGGTTTCATTTATTTAATGTGTATGTATCTGTTAAGATTTTCTACTCATGCATAGGTTCTGATGTCTTTTTATAGGGACTTAGTTACTTTGTCTAAATTTTTGTTATTTCCTGCTGTGTGAGTGTTTATAACATCCTCTTAGTATTTTTAATGTCTGTAGGATATAAAGTGATGCCTTCTTTTCCTTTCTTGGTATTAGTCATTTCTGCCTTCTCTCTTTTTTCTTGATGGGTTTCACCAGGGTTGATCAATATCGGTATTATTAGTATTTTTAAAGAATCAGTTTGTGTGCATCATTGTTTCTATATTATTTTGTTTTTCTATTTAATTAATTTTGTGGAATCTTTTTTCATTCAATTTTATCTTTTCTATTTCTTGAGGTAGATGCTAGGATCATAGATTTTTCAACTATTCTTCTGCTCTAAAATATCCATCTAAGGCTATAAATTCGCCTGTAAAGCCAACAAGTTTCCATATTCTCTTATCATTAAATTCAAACTGTTTTTCAGTTTTCATTGTGATTTTCTTTTCAATCTTTGGGAAATTTAGAAGTATATTATTTAATTTCTGAACAGAGAAGGATGTTCTATTTTTTTTCTGTTATTATTACAATAATCCTATGAATTAAAGAGTCAAAAGACGCCATGCTCGGCATGAGAGAGTTACTACCTCAAAAGTGGGAACAAAATAAGTGTGATTCATACCCATAGGTGGTAAAACTTGAAAGCACATGAGTGAAAGAGGCCAAGCTGATGGCCTTTATGTACCAACCCTCACAACCACCACCACACACAACCACCATCGCAAACAGCCAGCAGAAACAGGTCTCTCTCTTTTTTTTTTCCAAGAGGGAGCCATGTTAAATAATTATCATATTATTGTTGAATCATAGATAAATAAATGAATACCATGTTAAATAGAAAAGAGATTTAGATTGACCCCAGCAGGCTTGCCATTCCTGGGAAGACTAGAGGGAGATTGGGCTCAATTTACCACTACCACCAGCAGTGGCTTGTTCAGCCCATGTCTATTGCAACCCAGGAAAACAGTGAAAGGAGCCCTGGCAACAACTTCAGTCCCTCACTCCATGTGAGCTGCACAGGTTTAGACCTGTGCAGCAGGCACTTCAGCAAATAATCTCATGCCAAGATAAGATGTAATTAAAAACAATAAATAAAGCAAGTATTTCAGGTATGCCAGCACTGTAAAAGACAGTAAATGAATAAAGCTTGAAGAAATAGCTAATAGAGCAACCAGAGGAGACCTTTAGGAATAATTAATATTGGGAAAACAAAGGAGAATATTGCATCACAGAAAAAAGGCAGTAATGAAAAACAATTGAGATTAGTTTTTAAATAGTTGAAATTAAACTACACTGGCAAAGTCTCTTCAAATTTCAATATTTAAGCAAAGAAATAAACTGATGTGAGAGAATGAAGAAAAATATTCCTTGAAAAGATATTTTTGATAGAAATAAACTCACAAATTGAATTTAACAATAAAGCCTTGTTAAGTTATTACCTTCCTTTTTATTTAAGGTGCTGCATTTTGGGATGTTACCCCTCAGAGGATTACTTTCTTGAAAAAGAAGGCATTTTTCTCCTTTTGGATTTATTAGCAGTAAGTATAATAACTGTTTAACAAAAATTAAATATGTCTTTATTAGCTCTTTCCAAACTGAGTATCACAAAACACTACCCTGTGATTACGTGTGCCCCCAAATAGTGTTTAAATGTTTGTTTTAAACAAAAATCCCTCCTGGAGTTCCATAATGTGCATTGGCATAATAAAGAGTCTGAAAATTCCTTCAGTGAAGAAATTGGTTTACTTAGATGAATGTTCCGAAACACATGACAGCAGGGAATTTGTTTTATGTGGATTTTTCCCCACAAAATTAAAGAAAGAGCTAGACTACTTCAAAATCAATAATCATTTACTAATAACCTCTAGCTTTACAAACAAGGAAAGAGCAACATTAAAAAAAAAACTATGATTTGTAGGTAAAGTGAAGACTCTAGTGTGTCATAGAATGATCCAGAAAGGCAGATGAGAAGAATGGCAAAGACTCATTTATCCTTACAGTAATCCCCTCCTAGCCTCAATTCTAAGTGGGTCCATAGTTAAGGTGATATAAAAGAAAAGGTATACTTTTGTTTCAGTAAAACTCTGAGAGATATTCTCATGCAGAGTTCTAGGTATGTCACTGCCTGTGATTGCCACCATTCTTGATATTATTAACAGAATAACAAACCTACTTTAACTTAGCAAAGATACTAAAGTTATTTGTGTCCTTTCAGCTCTCTGAAAGAAAATTAGTTGACACTAGAGATGAGAGCAAGCACACAGCACACACATCTCTCTCAAAAAAAAATTAGCTGACACTAGAGATCATAGCAAGCTCATTAGATATAAAATACTAGAAACAAAAAATAGGTAAATAATAATTATAAAAATAAAAATAACCCACCTTGAATGAGTCATAAGCAGAAACCCTTTGAAAGTTCAGAAAATTGAGCATAATAGAGGATGTATGCATAGCTCTACTTAGGCAGTCCTAAATGACATATATCTCACCATGTTTCTCTGACTAGAGTATATCTAGAAGCACATGGTCAGTGTCAGGGAATTCTCAAAGCTACAGAATTAATTTGGCATATCTTCCTGGAATGTGGCTTCTACTTAATATTTGGAAGTAAGGAATGATATTATGCACATATATATATATTAAGTAATTAAATTTTATTTTAACATTATATAGAAGACTTAAAAGACATTTCTTACTTGTATTCATTCTCCTTCACCATTAGGGTTTCTGGATGGAAAGACATGAAGACTGGTAGGAGAAGCCATATAGCACAGTGACTGTGAGCACAGACTGGAATCAGTCTAATTGAGGCCTCCGGGAGTTGTTAGCTGTGTAACTTTGACAAATTATTTAACATCTCTGTTACCAATTTCTTCATCTATAAAATATAGATAATAGTATTATTTACCTCATGCACTGTTGCTAGGATTGTATGAGTAATTATGCACATGTGTGTATACATATACATGCAGTGGTTTGAATAGTTTCCGACATATTTTTGCTGTGTTTTCTTGAATGTAATTATTAGATTGTCCTTAATGTGGATTAAACCAACCAAGCTAATTATAAATTACAAATAATCTTTAATGAAGTTTCTATATAAACTTCAACCATTGACATTTGCCTCCCTCCTAAAAGTGAAGTATGTGGTGGTAGCTTTAGTTGTTAAGTCATATCTGACTCAGTGACTCCATGGACTGTAGCCCACCAGGCTCCTCTGTCCATGAGATTTCCCAGGCAAGATTACTGGTGTGGGTTACTATTTTCTTCTCCAGAGAATCTTCCTAATCCAGGGATCGAACCCATGTCTCCTACATTGCAAGTAGATTCTTTACCGCTGAGCCATCAGGGATTCCCAAAGTGAAGTAGAGGAATGAAAAACTCACTTGATTGAGGATTGTGCTTAATACAATCTGTTAAAATATTTATTCAGTCTGTAATAATAATTTCTCATAAAGGTTAAATATTACTGAGAATTTACCATGTGACAGTGTGTGTGTATGTTAGTCACTCAGTCATGTCTGACTCTTTGCGACCCTATAGACTGTAGTCCGCCAGGCTTCTCAGTCCATGAAATTTTCCAGGCAAGAATACTGGAATGGGTTGCCATGCCCTTCTCCAGGGGATCTTTCCAACCTAAAGACTGAACCCAGGTCTCCTGCATTGCAGGCAGATTCTTTACTGTCTGAGCAGCCTCATATAACTCATGCGTGCATGTGTGCTAAGTTGCTTCAATTGTGTCTGACTCTTTGTGACCCTATGGGCTGTAGCCCTCCCGTCTACTCTTGTCCATGGGATTCTCCAGGCAGGAATACTGGAGTGGGTTACCATGCCCTCCTCCAGAGGATCTTCCCAACCCAGTGATTGAACCCGTGTCTCCTGTAGCTCCTGCACTGCAGGAGGACTCGTCACTGCTGAACCACCAGGGAAACCCCATTTAAGTTATAATAACTCTCTAAAGCAGGTAATATCCATAATTTAATCTAACAGGAAACTGATAATGTTTATAATTCAGACAACAGGTTACATGTTTCTTTTGCCATATTCTATTATCAGTACACTGTAAGAGTTTCTCAACCAAAAATGAAGCCATGACTGTGTGGACGCCTTTGCTCTATTTGGACTTCTCACAAGCTGGAATCAAGATTGCTGGGAGAAATATCAATAATCTTAGATATGCAGATGACACCACCCTTATGGCAGAAAGTGAAGAGGAACTAAAAAGCCTCTTGATGAAAGTGAAAGAGGAGAGTGAAAAAGTTGGCTTAGCTCAACATTCAGAAAACTAAGATCATGGCATCTGGTCTCATCATCTCATGGGAAATAGATGGGGAAACAGTGGAAACAGTGTCAGACTTTTTTTTTTGGGGCTCCAAAATCACTGCAGATGGTGATTGCAGCCATGAAATTAAAAGACGCTTACTCCCTGGAAGGAAAGTTATGACCAACCTAGATAGCATATTAAAAAGCAGAGACGTTACTTTGCCAACAAAAGTCCGTCTAGTCAAGGCTATGGTTTTTCCAGTGGTCATGTATGGATGTGAGAGTTGGACTGTGAAGAAAGGTGAGTGCTGAAGAATTGATGCTTTTGAACTGTGATGTTGGAGAAGACTCTTGAGAGTCCCTTGGACTGCAAGGAGATCTAACCAGTCCATCCTAAAGCAGATCAGTCCTGGGTGTTCATTGGAAGGACTAATGCTGAAGCTGAAACTCCAATACTTTGGCCACCTCACGTGAAGAGTTGATTCAATGGAAAAGACCCTGATGCTGAGAGGGATTAGGGGCAGGAGGAGAAGGAGACGACAGAGGATGAGATGGTTGGATGGCATCACCAACTCGATGGACATGTGTTTGAGTAAACTCCGGGAGTTTGTGATGGACAGGGAGGCCTGGCGTGCTGTGATTCATGGGGTTGCAAAGAGTCGGACATGACTGAGCGACTGAACTGAACTGAACTGATACCTAAATTTTAGTTTGCTGAAAACTATTTGTAGAAAAACAGGAAATATGCTTAATAAGATAATTTTTCTTAAGTGCTGGTATACTCTTTAATGGTTGCTGAATTTCAAACTACAAAATTATACTTCATTTTGATTTATTTTCACATGTGACTGCCACTTGGAGTTACCATCAGTTAGTCTCTTAATAACAATGAGGTTACAGCGAGGATGTCTTAAACTTTAATAAACCAGGTAAATTGCAAAGATCCTATAATTGCAGTCTGTGTATAGCACAAATGACCTTGCTCCACTTTATTTCAATATTTCTTTTTCCTATTAAGCTAAATCAATGACATTTTGCTTCATGATGTGTTTATGACTTCATCAGAATTATATTCAATCTTTTTATTTCTATTTTTTGAAAGTCCCTATTGTTTGAAAATGAACTCATTACAATGGTATCTATTTTAACAGGAGATGGTCACAGATCATACTTAGAGTCTTAATTTTATAAGGCAATCATTTAGGAAAAAACCTACTGATTAACACAAATATTTCTCTTTTTAAAGACAATAATTCTCAAAATTTTAATTTTTTTATTTAAAAATATTTATTTATTTATTGCAAGATTTTTCTTTTTCTTTTTCCTTGCAAAAGTTGAACCAAAAAAAATTCTGCAGTCTAATACTTGGAATAATGGTTGAATTTTGTGATAATCCCAAAACTGCGGCTCATGTCAATGCTTGGCGAGGGAAGAAGGACCAGACAGCTGCTAGTCTTTTAATTAAATTGTGGAGAAAGGAAGAAAAAGAACTAGGAGTAAAACGTGATAAATATGGGAAGATTGTTGGTAAGTGTATTTGTAATTGTTTGTAGAAATAATTAGATCCGTATTTTTAAGAGGAGACATTAGGAAAGTATGGGGACTTCTACCTCTTTGTTTGAAGTTCTTTTCACAGGGGTCTGCAGAAGTTGCTATCATAAATTATGAATGATTGAAAGAAAACTGAGTAAATTAGTAGCAGGTTCATGTTTTTATAGAATATTTTCAGGAAATGGTATTTGATTGTATTCTTTAACTTGAAAAAAAATCTTAACAGGACTTCCTAAAGAACTTTCTTTGGGTTATCTGCTTTTGTAAGTATATTCAGTAATATTTCATTTACCAATAAAATTTGAGATATAAGTGGAGTGCTTAAGAACAATTTTTATAGTATTTTGTACATTTCTGTTGATTCTCATTTATAGTTTACTTTTTATGTAAAGGAGGAAACTTTTCTAAATAAAAATAAACTGATGGCCATAAATTTATTGACTAGACTCTAAATTAATGAAGTTTATAGTACCAGAATTTATATTTCATTTATCTATTCTATAGTGCTATATTACATTTTCTAAACCTCTTATGATTCTTATTATAATTTCACATGTTAGTATTGTTTATTTTTAAGTGAAAATACTTCCCCTTTCACTCCTGGTAATTCTCTATTCAATCCATTTTTATTGTATTCTAACTTCTAACCCATAATATCATAAAATAGTTTTTATATTTATATGATAACATATAGAAACCAAAAGCAAACAGGAGATTAAATCATTGTTAAACTGACATGTTCAGTTTCTGGATCTCAAAATTAGAAAAGTTTTTTTATGTGAAAGTTTCACTTCTAAAAAGGTAATTTTGTGAAATTTTTATACTTTACAAAAATAGTAAAAAAATTAAATTTTTCCAACAGAATGGGGAAAAATTGCTGATTACTTATGTTTTTAAAAGAGAAATCATGTATCAGGCAGTACTGTATTCTGTTGCAATATTTTTGTATATTTTATGATGTCTAAACTAAAATCTTAAAATTGTTAATTTACTACAGTTTTTATCTGTCCTCTCTATATTTTTATGATATCCAATGATCAGATACAAAGAAACCTCTATTTACTAGTTTCCAAGAAGAGCAAAAAATCATACCACTGCCTGCTAACTGCCCAACTGTTGCAGTTATGGATGTTGCTGAGAACATCAGAGCAAAAATTTATGCTGTGTTGGGTAAACTAGGTAAGAAGTCAAATTCTAAAGTGCCTCTCTTTGCTGAGTGTTGTGAATTGATTTCACTTTGGAGTCCATTTCTCAAACATGATGGAAAAAAGTCCCTTTATATAGACAAATGCATATTCCATTGTTACCACAATGCACCAGCTGCCCCCTTGAGCTCTGGATTTGGGGGAAGGCATCAGTATTTTTTAAGCTCCCCAGGCAATTCCAGAGTACAGTCAGGATCAAAGACAGTTGGTTTAGATGATTAGACGTAAATACTAGAATTCTGAATCACCTGAGGGCTTAACTTCGCTTCTTATTAAGAAAGAAGTCCTCACTCCTCAGACTATGAAAGTACAGGATCATGGTCTGACCACAGCACAGAAAGTGTTCCTCTTTTCATGACTACATGAGGATGACCTGGCAGAGGTTTGTTACAGAAGAAGTCAGAAGTTCACAGAAGTAACATTTTCATGAATCAGGATGAAATCAAAAGGAATCATTTGCATTTTTATGATAGATATATGCCTTTTAGAATTACTTGCTCAGTTAAAGTAATTCTCTCTTTATAAACTTTGTTTAGATTTTGAAAATTTACCTGGCTTATCTGCTGAAGATTTTGTCACTCTATGTATCATACATAGATACCTTGATTTTAAAGTGAGTATCTTCTTAGCCTTGTTATTAAAATCTAGTATGCAAGTCATCAGTTGGGAAAGATCTATTCATATTTGTGAGCAATAATCCACATACTATGTAGCTTTTATTTTTCATTTTACATCTGATACTATTCAAGGAGCATACAATTAATTGATTGGGTATTTCCATGGGATAAGATTTCATCCAACTTTTAGTTTATAAAGGAAGATAGACATTACTGACATAGAAGCCTAACAGAATCTTTAAAATATAATTTCTTCTCTTTAAGAGGATATTTAGAGCTAGAATTGGGACTTCCCTGGTGGTCCAGTGGTTAAGAATCTACCTGTCAATGCTAGGGACACAGGTTCGATCCCTGGTCCGGGAAGATCCCACATGCCACAGGGCAGCTAAGCCCGGTGCCGCAACTACTAAGCCTGTGCTCTAGAGTGAGCCTGTGCTTTGCAACAGGAGAAGCCACTGCAGTGATAAGCCTGTGCACGGCAATGAAGAGTAGCCCTAGCTCTTAGCAACTAGAGAAAGCCCACACGCAGCAACGAAGACTCAGTGCAGTCAAAAGTTTAAAAAATTATTTTTTAAAAAAGAGTAGAATTGAATGAATTATTACTTATTAAAATAAATTATTAATACTTATTAAAGTGTTGTTTTATCATTACATTATTCAGTGGTCAAATATCAATTAATAGTCCTGGGTTGCTTACTTTGCTGGTTATATACTTTTTGGTAAATAAATGCCTTTAAACTTTTAGGAAAGCCTTTTCAAGTAAACATTCTCTTCTAATATTAGTACTATGTATTGAATGCTGTAAATGAAGAAATCTCTATTTAAAAAGGGAAAGCAAGGCTTAATTTTACCCATATCCTGGATGCATATCTTTTTCCTCTAAATTTAAACATACTCAAATGCAGTAATTTCCATATATCCCAGTATATGAGGTGGAGCTACAGCATGATGAAATCAACATGTTAAGAGTTTTAGGTCAAGTATTACCTTAGCTAGAAGATGAGGGACAAGGCCCTATTTCTCAGGTGACTAGGTACCAAGATTCCAGAAATCTCCATCTTCACTGTTCTACAAATTCATCTTGACTCAGCCTTCAAATAGGGCTTTAGGAAGGAAAACATCAGTACTTCAGGAGGATGAGAGTAAAGCAACAATTTGTGCAGCTGTGAAAACAGTGACTATAAAAGGAGAGAGCAGTGATGATGGCAATGAACTACACTTAGATAGTAGAGCCTTCTCTGTGAATACTTATCATTGAAAAACATTAGGTAAGTGATTCCTGAATACTCAAATGTAACTGTTGCCCCAGATCATTCCCAATGCCACTTACTCCCAAAGAGTAAGTTAGGAAAAGCTGGTTCAGTAAGTGTTAACTTTGGAATGATCACTCAAATACATTTTAGGTTACCTAAATGTGTATCATTTATTTTTGGTTAATTTAACTTTTTAAAACTTTTTAAAACTTTGCTATAACAGATTGGAGAAATATGGAATGAAATATATGAAGAAATAAAATTAGAAAAGCTAAGACCAGTCACCACAGACAAAAAAATTTTGGAATCTATTACAGCAGCATCAGAAAATATTGGAAAGATGGTTGTTTCTCTGCAAAGTGAGATGATTGAAAGCCAAGCACGCCAAGATGTGCAAAATGAACAAAAAGTATATGCAAAAGTAAGCCAAAATAATTTCAGCATATAAACTAGTTGAAATTATCCCTAACATGTATTTGCCTTACTTGTGAATGCTTCAGCACTTAAGAGTCATTTTGTGATTTTCTTTTATAGTTACTTTCTGTGTCTTTGTACAGACTGAAAGAAAACATGGAGTGAATAGCTTGAAATTCAACTACTGTAGTCAATGCTGGTCTATGACATTATAGTTTTATTTCTAAAGGCTTACATTTCCATTTTTGAAATGTCAGAGTTTCAAAAATTGTGGTCTATTTAAGTGCACACATTTAGAAAATTCCGACAAACGGTGTATCTCTGTGACTGTAGGTTTAACCTCAACGAGAAAGTCCCTCACTCTGTGACAGGCCCTCATTAGCATGCCAACCACAGGCACATCTCCCCACCTCAGTGCCAGATCACATACTGTGAGCCCTCTGTAAATGCGCTCTCTGACTTGAGCTAGTCAGAAAAAGCCTGTTGGGAAAATATAAGCCATTTTTTCCCAAAGCTTTACACAGGTGAGAAACAACACATCTGAAGTTTTTGAGCAAACAGATTAAGTGACTAAGTGAACTTGTCCACCAATGCTGAGATGATATAGACTCCCCATTGCTGCTTGGTGATCCTTTATGACTAAAGTTAAATATTTAGACCTCTTTAAGGTGGGGTCTCACAGAGTCGGACATGACTGAAGTGACTTAGCAGTAGCAGTAGCAGCAAGGTGATTTCCAAAAGTGTTTTTCTATTGCCTGATCTTTTCACTTATACTATTAAATGTTTATATCTTCAGTCTAGTGGAACTTAGCATCCACCTATAAATTCTGCTCCATCTTAGATACCTCCCTTCTTAAAACTTTTATTTGTTGGAGAGTTTTTATTGCAAGGATGCTGCCATTTAAGCCGTTCCTTTGATCTTTAGTGGAGCACCCCTGTTGGAAGTTCTGCTTCTCATTGGTTCTATTGAGTGGCAGTATTCTGCTGTGTGAACTAGCTATTGCTGATTTGCTGATTATCGCTGATTTGTTATCATGGCTCTGACCCCACTTATTTTTTAGCAGTTGTTTAATTAAATACTCTTAGGTTCATAACTTAAGCTTAATAATATACTACATACCAACCAAGGGCATGTGTTTTCTGATTATATATTTAGTGGAGAGTCTGTTGAGAACTACAGTCTTTGTAGTTTGTCAGTAGTATTTCCCTAGACTGTAACTCCACAACAAACTCAGCACTCACAAAATTGCTTATCTTGCTGAAGTCATAAATTAGAAGACACTCCACCAATATAATCTTGGCTAAACTATTATCAGTGGCAGCAGAAATCTCTCTATTTTCTCCTGTGAATTTGCTGTTGGGTCATTTATGTAACTTGCTCTGGATTATACTCTGTTTTTGCAAGTAACACTTATTTAAAACAGTCTTGCTGAGAATGATTATTGTTATTCTCATATTTTATATTTTTATAACAACAGTTTTTCATTACATTTCATGGGAAGCAGTTCAAACCTTGGCTATATAGTGAGGAAAGGATTTTTTTTTTCATTTTAAGACTTTCGTTATTTAAGTTGTTAAACTCTAACCTTTTTGCTAGTTGGCCTTAAAATTTATGTTGGCAAAAACTAGCTCTTTCTTCAGAATAGAGGTATTCAAGCCCTTTGGTATCGTTTCATAGAAACTGGAACTCTTAATTATCTTTCTCATTTCAGATACAAGCCACACACAAGCAAAGAGAATTGGCTAATAAATCATGGGAAAATTTCTTGGCCAGAACATCAAATGCTAAAACATTAAAGGTAGGATTTTTTAAATATTATGATATCCACAACAAACAGAATTTTTCAGGGAAATATTCATTCACCTTTTTCTGTTGATCTTTCTGTGGGATACAAACACTGTTGATCCTCATTTGCAGTTTAGGATGATAACTGAAACTAAGCATTTTTCACAGTTCCAGAAGATACCACTCTGAGTTTCATTTGGCTTAGCAGGGATGGTGTTCCTGGTTTGCATAAAAGAGATGAGAGTTAGTCAGGAATAAGCAGAAGTGTGCTCCTGCTTTCCATTCTGAGCCTTCTTATTCACTGATCCTTTCTGTAAGGAGCAGAGAGAAGGACACAAAAAACAACTGTCCATATTGCCCTCTCGATCAAGGATGTTTTCCCTGTGGCCACCACAAGAAACATTTAAAGCTTAAATAGGAATTTGAGATAAACACCCCTTCGAGAAAATGTGACAACCCGCTTCAGCAATAAGCTTGAAAGTAATCTAAAAAGTTTATAATGCTAATTGTTCATTTTAAATATAAGAACACCACAGAGTTCCAAAATCTTATTACTTTTTTCCAACTTTTCCATTTGTGCTTGGGATACACTTTTACATAATGTTATAATTTTTCCTCTAAATATGAAATCATAAAATTATATATTAGCTCATGAAAATAGTGGAACCATATTAAGATAGCAAAACCAAAATTAAGAACAAGCTTATTCAAGATACCATGTCTCCTCCTTCTCATGAAAAGTTCTTCCCAGTGTTATTTACAAGATAGCCCCATAACTACCTGTACTCTTAAGGAAGAGTTTATGAAAACCCTTCCACACAGATCAGTTGTTACCTAGGATTTCACCTGTTCTACTGCCTCAACTATTGAATTTGAAGGTAGCTACAGCAAATTATATAGTCTGCATTATTCTGAATTCTTGAAACATTTAAGTGTACTGGATTAGTATTTGTACAAAATAATTTGAAAACATGCTTCATCTATTGTAAATTTAGTAGTTTATTCAACCATGTGCAAAAAATTGAGCCTGATTTCCTTAGGAACTTCTTTATCCCTTGGTCATATAGTGCCAGTACCTCTGGAAATCTCAGTAACATTTTTAGTTGTTTCCTGCAATGTGCAAAGGATATAACTTCCTAATAACTATTTTCTTAGCCCAAGTGAATAAATGCTGGATCTAGTGCTAATAAATTATAAACCAGACACAAATATATTTTGTGTACTTATTTGTAAGTACCATAGTTAATGCTTTAATAACAATTTTATTTTCTTTCTAATTTAAAAATCTTCAGAAAACAAAAAGACTTCAAGAGAAAGCTATAGAATCCTCTAGATATGGTGAAAGACCACAAAATGCAACATTTCACAGGACAGATATTAAAGGCCTTAATGCAACAGTAAGAATTTTTTTCTCCATAACTTTTCTTAATAGATATTGAATTTAGTTCTGAAATAATGTTATTTCCATGAGGTTCTGTCTCATACTTTTTCTTTTTGCTGTTAAAATGTCAAGTAGTTAAGGCATGTTTATCCCTGCCCTTACCTAGTGCTGGTTTAGACCAGACCCAGCCCTCCAGGATTCCCAAGAAACTGCTGCAAACACTGGTCAAGGTAGGGCTCCACACCTCATTGACAGGAAGCGTGCAGTGCCTCCTTTGCTTGGCAAATAGATCCATGCCATATGCCGGTGTTCTTGGTGTCCTCTTCTGGACATAATTTGGCCCTGATTGCAAAGACCCCAAAGCCCTGATTTTTCCATTATTACCCACTGCCTCCTAGTTACTATGTGCATTTTGTGTCTTTTCCAAAGTTTGATAAAGGATGAATAGATTTCCCTCTTAGTGAAAATTTTTATAAATGGACTCTTAAATGTTTAATTTTGCTTTTATAGGTGCCCTCTGGTGGGGTAGTAACAGTGGAAAGCACTCCTGCCCGATTAGTGGGAGGACCTCTGGCTGATACAGATATTGCTCTTAAGAAACTGCCTATTCGAGGAGGAGCCTTACAGAGGGTGAAAGCAGTAAAAACTGTGGATGAGCCAAAGAAGAGTGAGCCCACATAAAATACTCTAAAGGGTTTTTGTAATAAATTCCACTTATAATTTTTAGCTAAATATCCTTATATATAAATGTAAAGCAAGCATTTTAGAGTAAATATTTTAGTAAAATACTATTAAAAATAAAAGTAAGGGCATATAATGTATTTTTACTGAAAATATCAACATATACTTTGAGAAAAGTTGTCATCAATTTCTTTCTAGAGATTACAGTCCTCTTAACTGAAAATTGTAAAACATATTGTATCAGTTAAGACTCTTTCAGCTGATGTGAGCAGCTCCAACTGGTTTGAGCCAAAAAGCAAAACCAAAAAAAAACACAACAAAAATCAAATATAAAACTAATTAAAGGTATTGTTGGATCCAGGAACTGAAACTCTGTGAGTAGGCTCTTCTCTTTTCCTAGAAGCTCCTGAATTATATTCTCCCAGGTTGATATCCAGTAGTAAAGAGTGCATGCCTACCTCTCAACACTCTCTGCAACTGTCTCTGCATCTTGGGACATCTGATTGGCCACATACCCACTCCTGAACCATTCATCATGACCTTAGCCAGATCTGAGAACTGCTTACACCCAGAGCCTGAAGGAGGCCAGTCCCATCTAAAGCATATGGGTAGAGTGGGAAATCAGGATAAGTACATAAGTTGTTATAAATATATGTAAGTATGGGCAGCAAAAATTTTGCAGCAAATATGTTGGTCAAAGTAAAAGTTCTTCTCCTATAAAAACCAAATGTTAGTTATAAGCTAAACAACAAAAATTAAAAATAAAGATGGTTTTTAAAAAATTTATTTATATTTAATTGGAAGAAAATTGCTTTACAATGTTGTGTTGTTGTTCAGTTGCTCACTCATGTCTGATTCTTTGTGACCCCATGGACTGCAGCACACCAGGCTTCCCTGTGCTTCACTATCTCACAGAGTTTGCTCTAACTCATGTCCATTGAGTCGGTGATGCCAACCAACCATCTCATCCTCTGTCACCTCCTTCTTCTCTTGCCCTCAGTCATTCCCAGCATCAGGGTCTTTTCCAATGAGTCAGCTTTTCACATCAGATGGCCAAACTATTGGAGCTTCAGCTCCAGCATCAGTCCTTCCAATGAATATTCAGGGATGATTTCCTTTAGGATTGATTGGTGTGATCTCCGTGCTGTCCAAGAGACTCTCAAGAGTCATCTCCAGCACAGTTCGAAAGCAGAGTTCTTCAGTGCTCAGCCTTCTTTATGGTCCAACTCTCAGATATGTACATGACTACTGGAAAAACCGCAGATTTGACTATATGGACCTTTGTCCTCAAAGTGATGTCTCTGCTTTTCAATATGCTGTCTAGGTTTATCATAGATTTTCTTCCAAGGAACAAGTGTCTTTTAATTTCACAGCTACAGTGATTCCGGAGCCCAAGAAAATAAAGTCTGCCACTGTTTCCACTTGTTCCTCATCTATTTGCCATGAAGTAATGGGCCCAAATGCCATGATCTTCGTTTTTTGAATGTTGACTTTTAAGCCAGCTTTTTCACTCTCCTCTCTCACCTTCATCAAGAGGCTCTTAAGTTCCTCTTTGCTTTCTGCCATTCGGGTGGTATCATCTGCATATCTGAGGTTATTGATATTTCTCCCAGATATCTTGATCTTGTTATTCATCCAGCCCAGCATTTCACATGATGTACTCTGCATAGAAATTAAGCAGGGTGACAATACACAGCCTTGTCGTACTCCTTTCCCAATTTTGAACCAGTCCATTGTTCCATGTCCAGTTCTGACTATTGCTTCTTGACTTGCATGTGTTGGTTTCTGCCATACATCAACATGAATCAGTCATAGGTATACACATGTCCCCTCCCTATTTAAGATCCCTCCCACCTCTCACCCCATCCCACCTCTCTAGATTGTCACAGAGCACCAGGCTGAGTTCCCTGCACTATACAGCAAGTTCCCATTAGCTATCTATTTTAACTTAATATATAAATAAATCCCAATGATACTTCTCTTTAATGGGGATGGAAAGGGGGTATGGAGGGAAACATTTTTGGTGGTGGAGGTATCTTGCCAAATAGAGGTAGATCCCTTAATCTTGGATGTAGAGCAATATGTGTGTGTGTCCCTGTGTGTCAGTATGTGTTTCCAAAGCCTGAAACCCCATCAACCCCCTTCTTCACTCAGGAAGCTGCAAATTTGAGTTCCAGGGCTGGGAGAGACAAGAATCTGTTTCCTCAGAAAGGAAAATATGTTGGAATTTGAGTCTAGTCTCTAGGCCCATAGGGTGCACATAGCAGTGTACTGGTTAAATGTATAACAACCAGCTCTTCAAGGGGGAAAAGATCTTATATATAGTGTTTGCCAATTTGCATGATATAAATATTTGCAGGATGACCAATTTCAAGCTACCAACATGGTGCTACTGAATGCAGAGTTGGGAAGACATGCATAGGATCTACTTGCATTATCAAATAAAAGAGGGTTCCAACACCCCACTGGGCCCATCCTCTCCCACTTTCTCCTCCTTCTTCCCCTTACACTTCCTCCACCAACTCATATTCCTCCAGGAATTTTTCATTATTCCCTCTGTGAGGATAGTAGCATTTGCAACAAGAGAAGAAATGGCAGCTATTGATTATGTTCTATTTAGAATCTGTTGCCAGTGCCCTCTCACCCTGGCCTGGCTGCCCACTCTCCTGTGGTTCATAGGGGTACATAATATGCATCAGCTTATCAGTGAGCTTTGTCTTCCCTTGAACCCCTTTCTCTATTACCACCACCCCCAAGAGGACAGCAGAAGGCAAAATTTGTTCCTCTTCTTCACAGGCAGTTCTAAGCACAAAGGTTCCATGTAAAGGGGAGTTGGGGCTTCCCAAGTGGTGCTAGTGGTAAAGAACCTGTCTGCCAATGCAGGAGACTTAAGAGACATGGGTTCAATCTGTCAGGCAGATCCTCTAGACAGGCATAGCAACCCACTCCAGTATCCTTGTGTGGAGAATCCCATGGACAGAGGAGCCTGGAGGGTTATAGTCCAGAAGAGTCAAAAAGAGTTGGACATGACTGAAGCAACTTAGCATGCACGCACACATGCAAAGGGGAATTACTGAGACACAAGAATGGATGTGGAAAGGAACATGCAACAGTGAGATGGCCCATACAAAAAGCACCAGATACACTTTGGGTACATCTGAGATGCGTACAGAACAGAGATGAAGTGTCTGTGACTAAGATAAAGGAATGTTTACCCCATTTTGTAGACTATAAATTCCTTCCTCAGATTCCAAGCTCCCTAAAGACAAGACAGAGACCATATCTCATTCATTGTGGTAACCAACACCTTAGTTAATTACTGAATAAGTGTGATGGTAGCCCCAGTTCCTGGCAGCCTTTCCCCCAACTTATGCAAATACAGCAAAGTCCTGAACTCAAAGAGAAGGTTCAACCAACAAAACACTATACAGGGAATGCTAAACACAAACACATTATGGTAGTTCAGATGCATTCACTTCATAAGAGTGGTAGACTTTCTCTAAAATGAGGCATAAGTACTACTACATTAATATGACCAGAGAGTAGAAATAGATTGATATTACTTGGGTGAATATCATTTTTTGTATATAGTACAACTTGGTATCTTCAGATTTATTAGGACTGACTGTAATCAAAAAAATCTGTGCCTTCTGTAGAATTTCTCCCTGTTGTTGTAAGTCTCACCCATCAGAAAGAGGAAAGGTAAAATAGTGTAGGTTATTACCTAGCAGCCATTTAACAGAGGAAGAAATGTATGTGGATGAAGGGTAGTAAGGTTGCTTAATCCAGACACTTGTACTTGGTAGACAGACAATATCCAAGATCCCATATTATAGTTCTAGGCACCCAGCAGTGAGCCAGCAAATCAGTCCCTCTCTGACATTGTCACTAATTCTAACAAGTCTCAGTCTCTCCTCACATCTGTGCTCCCACTACATCACTCCTGAGCTCATCCAGCTTGGCTGAAAGGTAGATAGTATATTTCCTTCCATGAGTCAAGTGAGACAAAATTTTATCTCCCAAACTTTTCCTAATAAACTAAATGAAAAAATAGTCAAGAAAATAAAAATGGAGTTTAGGAGCCCAGATGAAAGTGGCTTCAACACTGTTCAATAATGAGAATTTTACCACATGAGGGAGGAGTTCATTACATGATTAGATCCTTTCAGCCAGTGCTTGCTCATATTGGATGAAAACTAGTGAATAATTAGGTGAACAATTATTGTTCTTCTGTTCCTCAGTCTGCTTCTGGAACACAGGGTACATTTCATATCACAGGGTAAAAACGATGATGTTCGCCCTAAGTCTTTGGGGGCCAAATATCCAGTTTATTTAATCATTCCAGACTATGAATCTGGCCAGCTTTTTCTGAAGTGCTGAAATTTGTTAGTATTCCTCTATACTGAGACCAACAGAACCAAACAAAAATTTACAGGTTTAACATAGATACATAGAGGGTATAATAAAACTAGTCCCTCTCATTTTTACTCACCTGCGGCCAACACAGCCTAAGCTTACATTAGTCATTGGCAGCCATGTTTCATGACCACTTATATTTATGTAGAGTTCCTTTTCAAGGAAATGTAACATAACTTCCCATTCCCTAAAGTGTGGGTTATCCTTAATGCCTTGCTTTAAAGAATACAACATAGAAAGAGAAGGGAAAGTAACTTTATAGTCAAGAAATCTGGTAAATACTACCTTGCATACTAAGTCACTTCAGTCGTGTCTGACTCTTTGTGACCCTATGGACTGTGTAGGCTGCCAAGCTCCTCTCCCTATGGGATTCTCCAGGCAAGAATACTGAAGTGGGTTGCCATGCCCTCCTCCAGGAGATCTTCCCAACCCAGGGATCAGACTGGCATCTCTTATGCCTCCTGCACTGGCAGATAGGTTCTTTACCACTAGTGTCACCTGGGAAGCCCAAATACTACCTTAGCCAAGGTTAAACACCATCTGTGGGGTATGTCATGTAGACAGCATGTACCCTTGATATGAAGTGTTGAGAACAGTGCTTTACCTCTGTAGTTTTCATCCCCCAAAACCTATAACCCTCCTCAAAACCTGAGAGAAACATCAGGCAAACCCAAATTGAGGGACATCCTGCAATATACCTGGCCAGTATCTGGAATTATCAAGGCCATCAAAAACATCTTCTTAGAGTCTAAGGAGACATGACAACTCAATGTAAATGGTGTCCTGGATGGGATAGGGTTGAGTGGGGAACAATTCATAGTTTTCTTTTCCCTTATTCCAAATCATCAGACTGGAAGAGCAAGAGGACATAAAAGGGGGAAAATCAGTGGAATTCAAATAAAATATGAAGTTTAATTTAGAATGTATCAATACTGGTTCATTAGTTATGACAACCATACCAGACTAATGTAAGATGTTAACAATATGGAAAAATGGGTGAGGCGTATATAAGAACTCTCTGCACTGGCTTGCAACTTTTCAGCAAAGTTGAAACTATTCCAAAATAAAAAGCTTATTTAAATTAAAAAAAAAAATCTATAGGAAGAGCAGAAGAATTTTAAGCATAGGCACTCAGTAAATTAACCATTGTATCACCTCATGAAGAAATATTTTGGGAGCAATATTAGATGGTTTTATTTGTTTTGTTTCTCTGTGCTTTGAAGCATGTGGGATCTTGGTTTCCCATCTAGGAATCAAACCCATGTCTCCTGCAGTGGAAGCAAGAAGTCCCAACCACTTGACTTCCAGTGAATTCCCAATATATGTTTTGCTATCTTGTTTCCCTCCTCAGCTTTCAGCAC